TATTCCGTATCTGCGAGTACTGGGAAAAAAATATCGGTACTCTATGCCAAAAAAAGGTATTGGTGCATCCCTAATAAAAGACAGGATGAAATTGTAAAGCAGACCTGAGCTCAAAAAGGACAGTGTTGCCACCTTATAGAGAATATCTAGAAATGTTAATTTTCTCTAAGCAGTTCCCTGAAAAGTGTAGAAAACACAAAAGATAAAGCGCACTCCTGTGGGGTGGACACACTTCAAATCGGATGGCTACTGTATGCTGGTGTGCAAAGCTCCTCACTACAGGGAGAGAACCCTGTCTGTAAACAACCACAAATCAAAACAAAAACTAAGGAGTGCAACTACCAAAAGATGTATATGTGGGCTTAGTCTGGCGAGGGGCCCAGTGGATCGATGTAATAAGAACAATGTCAGGAGCGCTACTAATCTTAGAGTGTGGAGTGTGGGTGTCTATGGCAGTGTGACCGCAAAACGAGAGAGGCTTACAATTAGGAGCTCCCCTGTTGTCTATGCGACCGTCTCCTTGGACGGATCATGGCTCGAAGGGATGCCTCTTTATCAAGCCTCAGCACCCTGAGGCTTGATAAAGAGGTAACCCCTCGAAACGCGTAGCCACCTTTCCGGAGACCCCTGATACCCCTGTGACCATAGCCCGATTGTTACCAGTGACACACGGCGCCCTTCAGCTGCGTGTAGCTCCTCCCCCCTTTTTTTTCTCCGTTCCTGACCGACGCGGCTCGGCCAGTCGAGTACGTGGGCGACCATACAGACATAGACAACAGGGGAGCTCCTAATTGTAAGTCTCTCTCGTTTTGCTGTCACACTGCCATAGACACCCACACTCCACACTCTAAGATTAATAGCGCTCCTGACATTGTTCTTATTACATCGATCCACTGGGCCCCTCGCCAGACTAAGCCCACATATACATCTTTTGGTAGTTGCGCTCCTTAGTTTTTGTTTTGATTTGTCCCTGAAAAGTGTACCTTTTACCTTGAATAAATCCTGAAAAATAATGAACTTCATGTGCATAGACACTCATATTCTGCAGACGAAAAGCTGTATTTTTGCAGTGTGGGAACTTCTAAGGCACTGCTACCTCTGAACGCTAGTCCCAGTTGATTTGGAGCAACATTTGGTGATATTATTACTATGCTTCTCACTGTTCTCCTCAGGCTAGGTTCACACCCAGGCGATTCAAATGCCGAGCTGTTTTCGTGGGATTGTCGCACGTATTCGATTGCGCAGTTTTCAATGCCTAGAGATGTCTATGGGACCCAACCGCGTGACTACCGCCCGTAAATCGCTCCTGCACCTTTTTGCCCAACAGGTGATTTTGCGCGACAAACCGCAAAATTTGTGAACAGACTCCATTGACTTCAATGGGAATCTGCAAATTAATCGCCTAGGTGTAAACCTAGCTTAAAAGCTTGCTGAAGAAGCCATACCTGCAGTGCAAGAATATTCTTGGCTTCTGCTGCATTCATTCAGTGGATCTGTGCTTTTTGCACCTCTCCTGCTGCTTCTTTATCATTATCCCACCAGTCATCAGATAACCAGTTATTAGCGGGGCAACTTTGACATGGTACTTCTCTTCCAACATGGCAGCCTTCACACAAAGACACAGTGTGGAACAAAAGCATGGTAAGTCACGGATTCCAGGCAACACTGGAGACTAGTCCTTTGCCCTCTGCTAGCTTTTCTGCATGCATGTAGTACTTTTTTTTTAGCACATACCACCACATGGTCGTATGAACTGAGCAGATTGAAATTAAGCTGAAATGACTTGTCTGTGCACTGGAACACCCAGGGTTTTGGTGCATCTGCGAGGGGGTGGCTGCGCCCCCTTGCCCGGCGAGCACAGGGCGCCATGGCACCAGACGGCCAACACAGCTCGACCTTGCCTCAGCATGGCAGGAAGAAGAGGGGCGTCATAGCCTGCAGCTTCTCCTCGGATCCCCGCTGCTCTTTCCCATCTGTGTGGCCAGAGGCAGCAGGGATCCAAGGAGAAATGGAGTGCTGCAGTCAGCGGGGGGTGGGGTGGGAGAGGTTGCCTTTGACTTCAGGATGGCTGAGCGGTAGGAGAGC